CGAGCAACAGCTTGTGTTTCTTCATAGCTTTTTCCATGTTTCCTTTTAACTCCTCGACTTTTGTAGTGAGAGATGTCTCTTGCTTACGGTATTCACTGATCTGTTTCCTTACATGGCGCACTTTTTCTTCCATGATTTTTCTACAAGACTGGTTATTTTGGAAGAAAAAAGAGCAGAAAGAAATTCCCATGACCTACTTGCACTGGTCGACATAGACAACCGCATTTGCTAGTGACCGCTCTTTTTCTTCAGCTTCGGCAACTTGTTTTTCCAATTTTTGGATGTCATCTGGCATCGACAGACTCATGTCCAAAAGCTAAAGGTATCAAATTAACACTGCGTAAGATAAATTGACCCCACCTTTCCAGACAGCTCATTGGCACCAGCTTTGCTTGAGAATTTGCGTTCACAAAGGGGACAGCACGAACGAGTTTTCGTTTCTTCACTCCACTGCTCATACATTGTCTAGAAAGATAAAAGTGAGTTATCAGATAAGATCACCTCAACTACCAAACTCACAGCTTTTGTCTTCAGCAGAGCAAGCTCCTTTCTCGCTTTTGTTAGAAGATGACGCGTTTCCGATAGATTTTCAGCTACATCTTGCGAAGAGCATCCGCATAGCTGCAACAGTAAGATTCCAAACTTCTCAGGGTAATCCGTAATTATGCTCACATCAAAAATCTTCTTCCGCAGTTGTTCAACTTCACCAAGTAATTGCTCTTCTTCCGAACGCGACTGTTCCAAACTTTGAGTTGTGCGGTCTAGATCTCTTTCGCTTCTTCGTAAGTCATTTTCAGCCAAGCGATTCGATTCTTCTCCAGATTTTACAAGGGCATTCACAGAAGAGCTAAATTCAATTAGATAGGATAGATCATTTCGAAGGACTCAAGGAGCTTTTTGGATAAGGAAAGAATATCAGGAGCCCGCTGGAGACTTGAGCGAAGCAGATCGCTGCGGCGGCTGAGGCACCGGTTCGCAGGCAAAACAAACCCCGTCATATTTTAGCGATGCCAGGTAGTAGACACTGCAAACCGTGCTCAAAGGCAGTGGACAAGCAGAATGGACCCCTGTCGGATTTTGGTGGAATTAGGAAGTAGA